AGAGCCTGGTCCGGTGAGAACCCGGCGTGCTCCGTCCCGGCTTTGTAGGGATGCGAGGTCAATGGTCTGACGACTACGGCATGCACGACTATGAGTATGGGTACAAGCCCCCCTCCCTCCCTAGGGTAGGCACAAAGAACGGAAAACTGGTACGAGCACCGCTGCATCCGTCGCGAGCACACTGTTCAGTACTGCAGCATGGCCTTGACTACTTCCGTCGGGAGTCCGTCGTTACCATCGCCAGCGAAGACCTTGGTAGCCGCGCGCATGCACTCACCCGCTTTCAACTGATTACCCCTTCCGAAGCATCCAAGGTCTTTGGCGGTGTCGTAGTACACCTGGTTCCTGACCCTTTTCGCCACGCAGTACCCTGGGTCATCCTTGTACCTGGTGCAGACATCCTGTTGACGGGGCGTGACGCAGGGGACGGTCGTTGTGGTGAGGCGGTGACACATTCTATGTGCTTGATCACTGTCATCTCCCCATCAACAATTTTACCCCACAAACGGCGGTTCTTGTCGTCCGCCGGTTTGTGTCGCCCCGTGCGGAGGACGCTCAGGAAAACGACACTTCTTGATTGTGCGTACTTTNGAACATCCTGTTGACGGGGAGGGGGGTCTGCTAGTGGTTCTATCTTCGGCTCTCGCGTTTTTTCTTTTTTTCTTTTTTTTGCTCGTGTGTTGCTGTCCTTCCTGTCGCGTGAGGACTCTTGGACCGTTGGGGCGTGGGGCACGTGGGCGCCGTGCGTTTCGCGGCTCCCGTTATGTCGACGTTTTTGTGCGGATGAGGGTTACTTTTTTTGGGCAGTGGGTCTGGTGAAAATATCGTCAGATATACATTCCATCGTCGTGATGCCCGCGTTTCCATCGGGGTATGTATGGAGTGCCATTCAATACAAGGGCAGGATTTCATGCGACCCCAGCTTGTCCCTTGCGTCCCACGAAGGGTTGTGTACTGCGTGACCATCTGTCCTTCAACGGTGATAATGAAGAACCGATTATCCAAGGGAAAACGGGAAGAAGTTAGCCTGCTGTCGTGTGTTGCACTCCTCGGGTCGGCCGCACGTCGTGGGCCGCCGCCGTGCGAGCATTGCTCCCATTTTTTTTTTTATAACTACTTCATATTGTTTTTGCTTTTACTCTGGAAAAACCCTGTGTACCACGACGTGCCAATTCCGATGCACACGTACATTGGAAAAAAACACACAACATCAGCTCAACATCAGCTGCCCGGAGTGTGCAAACGAAAAATCCCTCCGAAAAATCCCTCCGGTTGGGTACCCGTCCGGAAGAAAAGAAGAAAATACACATTCCTTTTNCACGACGTGCCAATTCCGATGCACACGTACATTGGAAAAAAACACACAACATCAGCTCAACATCAGCTGCCCGGAGTGTGCAAACGAAAAATCCCTCCGAAAATCCCTCTGGTTGGATACCCGTCCGGAAGAAAAGAAGAAAATACACATTCCTTTTAACTGTCGGTATCTTCTTCACACCGGCATCGTGCTCGCTCGAACTTTCGTCGCTGGCACTGCCGTCTTCGCTCGTACTGTCATCGCTGGTTGTCGAGGTGTGACCACCCTCTTCGCGAATTTTTTTCTGGATCGCAAGGCAGATTTTGGGACCCTTTCGCTCGTGCTTGTTGAAGAGGAGGAAATCGCGTCTCACGCCAGCGGCCAATCCGTCCTGCCTCCTCCTGCTCCCCCCGTCCTAATCTCCGACGCCAGCTCCGCGTTGTTGTCCGTGTTGCTGCCTGCGGAGGTGTGATCCGG